TTTTGGTTTTATATACTGACAAAGCAAGCAAATGGTTCCAAGCTTTGCTAATGGCTTGGAATGTTTGTTTTTCAGGAGCACAACCTTGAAGACCTGGTTTCTGCTTATCAAATTACACACATCTTCCTTGGTTCAAATTAAATTAAAAAGTCTCATATGTAAGTATTTCACCTTTCAAAATATATAATGCATCTTAAGTAATGAATCTTAATTTTTCTAAATTAGTGACAGAAATTAATTTTATTTTGCTATTTAATTGTTAAAATGTGTAGATGTAACCAATGCTCCATTCATTTACATTTTTGAAATAGTAAATGGTGAAAACATACCAAGAAACAGTGTTGTAACTTTGGTTTGTTCTCATTTAGCACTGGACTTTAAAGGTCTAGGTAGACTACATTTCCAAGAAGATTCCTTTTAAGAATCATGTAAGTACTTTTTTAACGTGAGTTGAACAGGGGAATACTATAAAAAATAAAATAATTTAAAATATTATTAACCAGAGCATGTCTGTCAGAGAAATCTATAATCTTGACTATGCTATGAATATGAATTTAAATCTTTAAAAACCTTTTCAAAATGCTTGTGTTTAAACAAACACAAACACAAGGTACACATTACAAGCTATACGAACCTTTCTACCAGTTTAAACCCTGTAGTTTATGGCGTTGTGTCCCCCTGAACCAAAGAAAATTCTCCAACACCAGTTTGTAATTGTTTGTTTGAAACAGATGAACATTCAAAATGAAAATAGACCTTCATCAATTTACCAATTTGATTTAAAAAGAAGCATATGGGGTAGGAATTTTAGAAAATGCTTCCATTTGGTGGAATTTTTTTCTTAAATAATGAATCATATTAGTTTTGAGGAAAACTCTTTTGTTGTTTTACTACACAGGCTTAGCTGTCATTTTTATTTGCTAGTCTGTACTAAACATGAAGAATAAAGATTTAGTCCTCAAAAAACGTAGCTTCCGGTAGAAGAAATAAAGAAAAATCATACATTTTTTTCAGCTGTTTGGAGTATTAGAGATATCTGTTGAGCTACAGATGAATTAATGCTAACAGCATCAGAATACACACTAATTTGGGTTCTGAGTTGACCACCCCATTCTGCTTACATTCGCTGCTTCCCTACTACATTGCTACTGCCGTCTAACTGGTGACCACAAAATAATCCAGCTTTCATTTCCCCTGAGCACCAAACCCATACACCAGACTGCCTGCCAGGCAGTCCTCTTGTGATTTGAAACTCCCAGCATTTAACCCTGCAACTATGATCCGCCCGCCCTGACCTTTGTTTCCTTCTCTACTTCCTTTTCCTTTTGTAACTGTCATCCACTCAGTTGTAAACCATGGAAGTCAAGGGGTCATTTTTCACTTCATGTTTATTTCTCATATGCAAATTTGATGAAAATCTCATTTCTCTGCTTAAAAATACCAAAATGTCTCCCCCATCTACACGATTAAATCTCTATCTAGTCTGAATCATGAAGTTCCTAATATTCAGACCGTTGCCTTCTTGTCCAGCTCTGTCTGGTTTCCACGTGTGAAAAAGGTGCGGTAACCTTCGCTCTTACCTTGGACTGTGGTCATTGAAAGTTTTCTGCTTCCAAATGTCCATAAAGACTGACTACAGCAACATAAACTACCACAGGAGAGTCTGAATTTTTATTTGTTTTTCAATAGTAAAAATGGCCTGTAGGAAAAGGCTACAATTATAACACAATTCAATAATTAGAGATAATTACCCAAGAGTAATTTGTTTCCATATATTAAAAGCTTAGTGGGACACGGGCCATTAAACAACCCTTTCCTGATTCCAAATGATAACTTCCCATCTGGTAAATTGGTTTCATTTTCTTCTTAACCAAGTTTATGTACTTTAATACTGTCTAAGCGTGCCTCCTTATACTCCTACAATATATATGTAAATAGACTAGCCTTTTACTAACAGGACCCAATAAAATTGAGAATTTGCAAAAGGCAAAATTTTTACCCCCATAAACAAAACATTCATAGTAAATTAAAAGTGCAAATTAAATTGATAGAGAACCTTTCATATAGAAAATAATAATTTGTGGGATCATTTAAAGACATTTTCCTAGATATAAATATTTCTCTTCCCTCTTCAGGTTACCCAAAGAGCATGTGTTGGTGTATAAATTTGATCTGTAAACCTGAAAGAAGAAACTCTATATTTTAAATATCAACATTCAATCCAAAAGGCCAACTCAGCTGTGTAGAGTCTTTTGGCATATTAAACACAAAGTTCTATCTCCTAAATGCCCTAGGCATTTCCATAACGATAAGGTGTTGCTTTGAAAAGTAGACATTATCCCGGGTCCCTGAGGCCAAACAAGGTTCTAGCTGTCACATTTTAGAAATAATCAGGGTGTCCAAGAAAGTCCATACTGTAAGAGTAACTGGAACTAGAAGACTGCATCTGTTATGATGGCCGAATATCTAATATTTCTATTTGTTAGTCTTTTTTCTCTTTTTCTTTCCCTTTTTCTTTTACTACTGAGTCATTTGTTTTTTAAGTAAGATTTAGATCCTTAGTCTACTTTCTTTTGAAATAATTTAAGCACAAAGAATTATGTTGAGAGTAAAGTTGTTATCGAATGCCCAACTTCATCAAATATTGACATTTAAGTTTATACTTCTTATAAACATAAGTAACATAACATAAATAGAATATTGGGCTTAGATATGTTTTTAAAGAAATAAAACATTATTGAAATAATTGTAGCTGCCTGTGTCTTCCTCTCTTATTTCTTAGAGGAAAATCTATTTTGAATTTGATGCTTAACTTTTCGAGAATTATTTTATGTTTACTACTTACATATGAATGTATGTGCATAAGCAGTATCACTTGCTTCTTTAAACCTGATGAACCCAATATAATTCTATCTGCATTCCTCTACTACTTGATTCTATTCCTTCAACATTATGTTCCTGAGACTTTTTCATGCCGATGTATACAACTGTTTTTCATTTAAACTTCTGTATCCATTAAGTGACTATACTTCAATCTATACATTGTCTATTTGCAGAACATACAGGTTGTTCCTTTTTTTTTTTTCCTATTACAATTAATCCTACAACAAATACTTTAAAAATGTCTATTATTGCACATATGAGGAAGTTTACCTAATGGTATATACTTAATTGTGAAAAGCTGGTTCGTAGAGTGTGCACATTTTAAACTTCATTGATATTGCCAAATCAGTCACCAAGATGTGTGTGTGTACCAATATATACACACAAAAAAAGTATATGAGCTTTGAAACAAACAATAAAGTATTTACAGCATCACCTACCTGGGCAAGAGTTTTCTGGACAAGTAACATTAGCATAGATAAGTTGTATGGTTATAAATACTTTTGATTCTCGCCCTGGCCTGTTTGCTCAGCGGTTAGAGTGTTGGCCTGCAGTCTGGAGAGACCTGGGTTTGGTTCCTGCTAAAGGCATGTACCTCGGTTGCAGTTTGTCCCCGGCCCTGGTTGGGTCGTGTGGGTGGCAGCCACTCGATGTGTCCCTTTCACGTCAATGTTTCTCTCTCTCTCTCCCTCTCTCTTTATATGAACAAAAAATGGAAAAATGTCCTCAGGTGAGGAATAAATAAATAAATAAATAAATAAATAAATAAATATTTTTGATTCTCAACATAAATGTTAACCTCTTAACTATTTCTTCAGTCCTGGAAACCATTCATATATCTTTCTATATTCAAACAAATAGAATTGGAATTATCTCAGCTATTAATCTTGTGATTGTATTTAATTTAAAGTAACAGCTTAGACATGATCTAGGACCTAAGAATACCATATATAAATTTTTTTTTTAAGGTTATGCATTACTGCAAACTCTCTTATTCAAAGCTTGTCAGAGCACTCAGAAAATTTGACATTTCTCTATGCAATATCTCTACAAGTTATTTTATTGCCAGGTTTGGGGAGATGTTATAATATCTGCTTGTGAATACAAACTATACTTCATTTGTGTACAAATTGTCAAGAATATATCTTTATAAAGCAAATAAACAAAACCCCCAGCTTACTCCTTTCATAAATTATACTCATACAGCTAAACATATAGATGAGTATTTTAAAATTTCACTTATAAGATGGTAACTTGAAATCTTAAAAATACTTATTTGTGGTAATAATGTTCCTCTCAGTCCGCCAAAGTTGATTTAAATCACCGTTAAAGCTTAACTATATAATGTTTTAATTGGAGAGAGCCAGTCATTTTTATTTTTCATAAGGGAAATTATTATAAACTTACAGTGCAGAATATATCTACTGATAAGTGTCAGGAAATATTTTCTTTGGTATTCGATCTAGTGCAGTTTTATGGATAAAATCTTGTTACCATGTTCAGGGGTGTGAAAACAAAAACTTGCACACAAACCAATATTCTGTTATCACCATAGAAGACTAATGTTTGTGTTTTATTATAATACAACCAAAATATACATTTTAAAAATTTCAATTATTTTAGATTACAAGACTGCATTTCTCTCAAAATAGCAAAACTATAAATTCAAAATTGACTGCTAAGCACTTACAATACCAGAATTAAATTATACAATTAATTGACCGAGTCTTACCCTTTCCCCAAAAAATCATCTATTGTAGACTTACTATAAATACTTTATACTACAGAATATTTAAATGAGAGGTAAAAGTCATATACATGTTCCTGCCTTTGCACTGTCAGTGGGTAGCATCTTGGAATTTTCTATCTTATTTTTTAACCTTACATGTAAGCTCAACTATTTAAATATTGTAGTCATCTTCCATGAGAAAAATAGATCTTTTTATAAAAACATTTTAAATATCTTCTTTTTTTCTAAACTATCCATTCCCAATAAGGTAAATCAAATGCAATATTCTGTCTAAGAAAAATGTAACTTTCTAAACAGAAGCTATTTCAGTTTTTAATTCCATTTGTATTAATGATATCTATGAAATATATGTAAGTTTAAAATGTCAGTGTTGAGTGAATGTTTTGGTTTAATTTAATATTTTGTGGCCATCAATGTATTAAATTGTCTTAAAATTTTAATTTTGATAATGTTGAAAAGAAGGCACTGTCCACTATAAACTAATTTATTTAGTTTAGACTGTATAATCCAGCAGGAACAAAACTTAATAGCATATGAAGAACCAAAATATAGACCAAAGGAAAATTCAAGAGGAAGACCATTTTGCAGGCAGCTATTTTAAATACCCATTAGTTAACAGATGGTGAGATTTTTGTATCAATTATAGTTCTACTACTGTGTGGCTTTTACAAATTTCTCTATGACTATTTTTCCTTCTCTTAAGTAATTTGATTGGTTTTCAAAAATGTTTATTCAATAATGTGAATATAATGTTTTGAGCTCTTTGGAGGCGGGCATTCTACATAAATTAATTACTCAAAAAATCCATTTCTAGACAAATTCTTTAAATTCTGAGTAAACTGAATGTAAATGAAAGCAGACAGGCAGGATTCCATGTAGCAACATAAAAAGCCAGAATGAAACGGAGGCAAGAATAGGCAAGTCAAAGACTTGTATTCGAAACAGGAGAGGAAAATAAGAATCCAAGGAAAAACATAGACATTTTATGACATCGCCATCAAGAGCTGATTTCTAAGCAAATGTATTTGAAAGTATTTACTATACTCTTATTTTTCATTATGTCAAAGAGAATTTGGTAAAATCTTCAGTGGTGAGCAAGTATATATATTGTGTCTTGTCTTACATTTAATGTATTCACACTGTTGCTCAAGTGTTCTAGGCAATTAAAAGGTTAGAAAATTACATGTAGCTTAGATGTCCTCTATCTTTATAAATATACATAAATCTTTGTCCATTAGTTTTTTTTATTATCTGACATTCTATTTTACTAACATTATTTCAAATTTATTTTGTCATTATTATAAATTAATAGTTTTATATCCAAAGCAGCCAGAATAGTAGATGTAAATGAAAATAGGCTTCCAAAAATGTGTCTGAATAACTATAAGAAACAAGGAATTAAAAAATGGCTTGGACATTCACATTTGGATGAAAACCAAATTTATTTTCACACGTCAATCCTAACATTTGAGCTTCGTTCATGTAATTTTCTCAAAGCTACCCATAATTTGATCATTACTGTCTGACATACAAATATGTGGAAATCTTCGCAAAATAAAGTATACCCCCACTTATTTGCTTTGAAGTTGCTATGAGTTCCTGGAACATTTCAACCCAGCAAATCAATTTACAAACACTTTTGTTATGGTATTCAATTAGCAGTCTGATCCTACTGCAACTATTCTTAGGCATTATTTTTCCAAAGACTAATTTGTTCTGGTTTGTTTTTTTGGACAACTTAAGTTTTAAATCCTTAAGTTTTTCTTATACAGAGACATCTACAAATATTTATGAGTTTAATATCAAAAGGGGTACTTAACCTCACACATCAGTGTGACTACTTTGAGATAGATAAGTGACGTGAATAAAACAAATGTAGAGAGGATGCTGTGAGCGTCAAGCCCATCACAGACATGACTTTGACCACTGTAATAAGCTACCCTCTCATCACACAGGTTCTCACAGGCTTTTTTTCAAGACACGTAGAATGCATGAGAAACGAGCAATGTCTGCTATTTAGTTTTCTGAAAAGCTGCCTTCCATGTAAGGAAGTGACTAATTTTTCATTTCACACTAAAAAGGGCATGAAAAGGCAAAACAGAAGAAGGCTAAGGGTTTTGTATTGAAGGAGAGGTGAGTCCTGCTTAAATGAGCAGAAAACATACCATGCACATTTGGAGGTAGGGTCCAGCTGGAAATATGTGCTAACAAAACATGAAAAGTGTTTATATTGTGAGTTTGTTTTCTTTACATGCAGTAGGCTTATTTATTATTAATTTACTAAAACAATGCTACTTGAATTACAGCATATAATCTCAGAAATGCAAAAAGATTGTGAGGAAAAAGATGTCAAAGAGTTAACTTAACCCTTTCCGTTGTCAACAATTTTGCATTTGTTCTGCTATTTGACAATATATCTCCCCATTCCCACCCCTATTGTCTAACTAATTCTATCTTTATGTATGTATATATTGTTTTTTTCTATTCACTCAAATAAAATCCCATAATCCAATATATTCAAGAGAATAAAGGCAGTAAATGAAAATAATTTATAGAGTATGATGAGTCTTTAGAAAAAAGAAAACAATGAAATCCTCTTGATTGCAAATAAATTTGTGTTCATTTTTCCCATGATCCTTTAGAAAATTTGCTTCCCTCAGACTTTTGCTAGCAGTTGTTTTTTTTTTTTAAATAATCTACAATTTATTTAACAGATGTATTATAAATTGGCAGCTACTTATACTCTGGTGAATAAAGCTACGTTACAGTTCACCCACTTTATTTGTGACTGTTCTTCCTTTTTATGGGGCTGTGACTTTTCCCCAAAGCCAGAATTTATAGCTGTCTTTCCTTCTGTCCCTTAACAAATCCCATCTGCATGCCTTCTCATTAGGATGCAGCATACATCATGATGCTTCCCTTATTTTATTTAAATGTTTTTCCATAGCTTACTTAAATATTTATTAAGCATTCTGTCCCTATAAAGCTCAACATATACTCTCAAAACACATAACTGAGCACCAACTTCTCTCTGTGAACCTGTTTCTCCTGGTAATTCACACGGAATCCTGGGAGGAACATTTACAGCCTTCAGTAAATCAGTGCTGTAGGACACTAAATAACCCCCGAGGCCTGAAAAAATAATACACCTCTCTAAACTCCTAAACCATGCACCAAAAGTGAATGGCTCACTGTGAACGTTTCTGTTTGGTATACAAGTGGTCTGAATTTGTGTCTTCCCTCCAATTCCTACCATAAGGTAGCCAGGTCTAGAGTGGAATGATTTATCTGTTTATAAGAACATACAGCACAACAGCATGGTAAACTCCATGCCTAGGGACCATGCGAGGGAACCAAGCACCTTAGCACATTATCATCTGTGATGTTTGCTTAGCTCACTTATTTACAGAGCATCATGAGTTCAAAAGCTCAGAACATAAAACATTCACAAATGTAAATTCCCTGTTTCGAGAATAATTCTGATACATTGCAGGTACAGGTTTGGTTCTTAGAAAACGGGTTCAGATTTGCCCTTCGTATGCCATATTCACCATGCATAGTCTTACTCCTATTATTTTTCTTGTGCCTTAGCAAAACTCCATGGAAAACTCTTATGAGTTAGTCTAAAGGATGTACAAACAAAAGACAGTGTTTTTGCAGGTAAAAATTATTTTCTTTAAATTAACAGAAAACTACGTGGCCACCGCTCTGGGAAGCTCATCTCGGTGATGCCTTCGGTTGCGTTTCTTCTTCATTTCCTGCATGTGCTTCCACTTTGGGACGCCCTTGTTCCGCTGTCTCCGCTTCTCCCGGTGCCACATCTGTTCGCAGTACTGGTCGAGGCTGAAGTTTGGGCTGCTAAGGATTTGGATGTAGTCTTTGTATCTCAACCGTGACTCAGCCAACAGATCCTTGACCTGCCCCTCCTCGTGCTCTGCCCTCTGGGTATTTTCCATCTGTTCATTCTCAATGACATTCAAAGTCAGCTTCACTATGGTGTGGATAAAAGTGTGTTCCTGTGCCTTGCAGTAATACATCCCAGAGTCCTTCTTCTGCAAACTTCGAATCAGTAGCCCATATTCTGTTTTGATGATCCTTTCATCAGGTTTCAACTGCAGAATTGGAAAAATGTAGGTAATAAATGAAAACCAGAGAGGGCTGTGAGCAAATGAAAACATGCTACATGGCTTTACTTAGATGAACCTAAAAGATATACTCCCTGTCTCTCTGTCATCAAGCATAATATCATCATCATAGCCAAAGAGAGTAAAAAAAATTCAGCTGAAGTAACAGACCCCAAAAATGCATGCTTGCATCTTAGAATGCCTACCTGAATCTTTGAAATACAGTTAGTTTTTCTCCCAGCCTATGGATAGGAATGAAAAGCTGTAAAAAATTAATGAAGTAAAACCGGAAACTATCAAATGATCACCTTTACAGAGATTTCAGATAGCAATTGGTATTCTAAGAATTTCAGAGCTAGAATGTGACAGTCACATGTAGAAAAGAGCTTTAGTGCGTGTACATGTACTACTTTTAATATAGAATAGAACAATGATTTCAAAAGATCACTGTGTTTTCTAGATCTCACCAAACAAATGATCTGAATAGCATATGGAAACTGTAAGTGGTGACTCGTTAAAAGTCAAGTGGAAAGGCAAGGAGGCAGCCTTTTGAATGTGAGAGCTGTAAGTGAACAGGACCATAGTCAGAAGGTTAGCAACATCTGAAGCTGAATTTCCCTTTTTACTCCGGATTGAATTTTGATACTTTGTGTATATGTGATACTGTAGACTCTGTCATTTGTGGAAATATTTGCAATACCTCGATATACTATAACATGGTAATGTGATTTCAAGTGTGAGACCACTCAATGAACAAAAAGAACCTCCCCTGAAATGCGATGCTCTTTCCCCTTTGAAGCAACACCACCGAAAGGCAATTCAAACACTTGCGCGGGCCTGGCCCGCAGTCCGGTGTGAATAGCGACTCTATCTTCAATAAAACCAAAGGCACGCTTATTGATACAAGAGCTCCGTGTAACGTGCAGTATTGTGAGGTGGCTCGACATTAAGTAGAATCACAACAACAACAGAGAAGCCTGGAAGATTTCCAGTTTACACATCTGCCCCCGTATTGTAGACTTTCCGTTGATGGAAATCAAGGAGGCATAAAGACAACTAAATTAAATTTATTCACAGTGGGTGGACTAAGCACTGCATCTTTATGTGAAAAATATGTAGGAAAAATCCCTCAATCCTGGAAATCTGAGAAAAGGAAAAGAAACATCTCTGGCTACCAGCCCAGTTAACTAACGAGTATATGGCCAACCACCCTCTGGGCCAGAAAAGTGCAGCTGGTGGGGTACCACACGAGGCCAAAGGCAGGTCACAGAGCAGATCCCTGGTTAATGAGGCTGAATGGTCTCCAGCCCCGACTTCGCTTCTCACTGAAGCCACACCATTAAGGGTTTGTTTGTTTGTTTCCTTTACTTTGCCCATTTGGTGAGCTGGGCACACAGTATTTTTTCTAAGGAATTTATTCTAAAGGATCGGACATTTTTAAATGCTATTGTAATGCAAACTAATCTTGAATTCACTTAGATCCTCAGTAATCACAGGAGTCTTGTGCCTAAAATAAATGTGAATTTTAATGGTAAGGTTCTAAAACGCCAATCTGAAACAGACACATCAATCTCAAAATGAACACACCAGATATATTATTTTAAATAATTTTACTGTAGAAATACTTTTTTAAAATTTAAATACATCTTGGAACACAAAAAACTGACTCCATAAGCCTAGGTTCTGGTCACTATCTGCTAGACTTCTGATGATAACTCATTTATCTTCCTTGCTTGGTCTCCCATTTATCAAGCTGGTGACATAGCATATGGTGTGGGGTTTTTTTGGTGGGGGGGGGTGTTTAAAAGTAAAGCTCTTTGAAGGTTAAGGTGTGAAGTATTATTAGCAACGTTACATGTTGCTGGAGAGAGGTGATTTTCTAAAGGCTTTATTTCTGTAATTCTTTTAACAGAAAATGGCCTGTGGTTATTAGCAGGACAAAGCAGGCAACTTCCTTTCCAGTTCCTCTCTAGATTTCCTTTCATAACAGGTATTCTTGCTAATGTTTAAACTGTTTAATGTGGCTTTAAAGACTGTCACAGCTGTGACTCACTACGTTTTACTGTTCTCTTTAATCTTCTGACAGGAAGAAATTATGACTTTGATTTCACACAAACGATGCGACACTTCGTCCTTATTTGGCTATTCTCTTTTTGCATCCTGTTTATGTTGTTGTACTCTGAAGTCTGGTTCCCTTCCCTTCTTTCCATACTTCTGCCCCCACAGAACTCAGTGGCACTGGCATTTCATTACTCCGCTGAGATCCTTCACCTTTCCTTTCTTCCATGGAGTGCTTCATTTTTCTTTGGTTTTTGATCTACAGATATAAAACTTGCTTTAATAAATTTTAGGCTTCCTGGATTTATCTAATGTCTTTTAGATTGTTTAAGTGATTTTTCTTAAAATTTCAAAAATATGAAATGGTGTCTTTAACAAAATACATTTTGAATGATACATTTTCATAGGACTTTTGCAATCTAGAGCTAGAAATCTGTGACCCAGAAATTAAGTGGTTGATTAACATTTGCCTACTTTACATTCTCCTTCACTGGAATGCTTTCTTCCTATGCTGGACTAGGATGCATTATGCAGACTATATCTCGACAGTAAAATGTCAGCACAGTCAATTTAGAAGATTCAGCTCCTCGACAAGGAGATAATGTAATCTCTGGCCACTAATTTAAACTCGTGGAATTTTCTCCACTCTAAAAGTGATAAGTAAAAACTGCTCAGCCTTACAAATCAAAACCATGCTTGAACTGGGATGAACTATCCATTTGCTTAATGTGAACAATGATAATATATTTGGCATTATTAAATATAGATCTTCAATGAAGGGCAATTCATTTAAAACGAGAAGAGTATCATGGAAAGGGACAAAGGACGTTTCGGTACTAAGCAGCAGGTAAAGGTCAGGGGCTTCATTCTCTGCTAATAGCAGCCTAATGGTAATTCCTTCGCAGATAATTCACCTGTCATTTCTTTCATAGCTAAAGTATTGCACATGTCTTAGAAGTGACTGGGGCTTCAAGAATATCTCCTTTCTTCAACAAACACAGAAGGAAGACATTTAAAAATAGTTCTGAGACAACTGGCTCATTATTTTAAAGAAAAAAAAATTATACATAACTAACTCCTACATTTATGTAATATATTCGAGCAAATGTAAATATAAAATGTATACTGCAATTTTAAAAGTAAAACCATAAAGTAACTAGAAAATATATTTTTTTCTGTTTTATTGGACAAGGAATTTTTGAGTGTAAATGAGAAATCATATAGATGTAAATAAACAGATTTATATAAATTATAAATATAAATTATAAAACTTTTGCTAAATTAGAAACAAAAAGTTTTAGCAATAACAGTAAAAAAAGTTACTTCTAATATGTATATTAACATGTTAATTTATATATATGTGTGTGTATATATATGTGTGTGTGTATATATACATGGCTTCATAAAATAAATTTTAAATACACTGATGTAAACCAAGCAAATGATAGGGCAATTTACCAAATACAAGTGAAATCAATAGCCAAGAAACATGAGAGAGTAGTTTACATCCAGTAGTATTAAAAGAAATAGATATTAACACAATATAATATTTTTTCATATCAAACTGGTAATGATTTTCTTACATTGCAATATAAAACTTTGCCTCAGGAGTTCAGAAAAGGCACAATATAGTGATTTTGATGGGAAATCGGCAATATTCAGTTGTCTATCCCAAGCCATAAAGACAATTGAAGCCTTTACCTCGCTTATTTTTCTTCTAAGTGTTTGTTCTAAGAAAATAGAGAAGCCCTGGCCGGTTTGGCTCAGCGGTTGGAGCATCGGCCTGCAGACCAGAGAGTCCTGGGTTCAGTTCTCACTAGGGGCATGTACCAAAAAATAAATAAATAAATAAAATAGAGAAGTAGAGAAAACTTTCTATATAGGGAAGTTGATTACTTTTTTTTGAGAGAAAACATGAGCTATTTAAATAAAACATGGAACATTCATGGGTAGCTGTGGCATCAGGACACTGGGGTGGAGACAGGAAAAATACGGTATTAAAATTGAATGACAAGAGAAAATACACACAGCATAATCGTTAGTGGGGAAATGCTGGAATAGACATCAAAAGACAGTATTTGTGCTTATCTACACTTAGAGGTCTCATAGTTCTTTATGTGTTACTATACTTTCAAAACCATTGATATTACTTGTATACTAAAAAGAACAAAATAAAACAAAGACCTACAAAGAGAAAAATGCAAATATTTGAAGACACTCTATGAAACATTTTAAAAATCCACAGATAAAAATACTACTGTAAATGGCAAGAGGTATTGCCTCTTTCATTCATTAAGATCCCAAAAGTTCAACAGAAGCCTGGGGACTGACGATTAACTCGCCAGTTATAGCATAAACATCGGCCACTCCCAGCACAGCTTTATAAGAAAGTCAGCAGATAACTGACTTCTGACCTCCCAACAGCACCCAACTGTGAAACAGCTCAGTAAGGAAATGTTCTCCCCCTGGCAGAGAAAAACCTGGTGACAGCCTGTGTGCCACAGGAGATCCTGGTCCTCCCTCAGGCTTATTTTGAGTGGAGGAAAGATTCCAAACTGTGACCTTCTTGGAAAGGAGCAGAGGTTTCCTGCTGGGAAAACATTTCAAACCTGGGCTGGATTTTGCCCCTTTGCTCGGCTCAGGAAGCAGTATGGCAGAACTTGGACTTTGTGTGACTAGCTATTTACGAAGATAAATGAAAATACCATTTGAAATATTACAGCTAAGATATTTTTAAGTAAAATCCAATAAATATACTCTTTCTGCTCCATTGAAATTCATGGAGCATGGTACCACCGTGACTGTATGATACACTGTTAAAAAGTAAACTAAAGTAATACAAAGCCTTTCAGGAATATGAAAAATGTAAATTCAAACATGCACAGTCAAATGTTGTATCTATAACTGGGAGATTACCCCAAGTAAAGTACCATATATATTTTTTAAAAGACATTAAATTTACTATGAAGGAAAAATTATTAAAAATTTTTATTTAACTAAAAAGAAACGATCAAACTTTATTAACTAAAAAATTTTAAATACTGATTTGGGATATTTAAAAATAAAATATTGTAAAGTATCTAAAAGAAAATCTGCATGTTAAAAAACTCAGATAACATTCTTCTAATTTTTCTGTGATAAAAAAGTGAAGGATTTATATGTTGAAATTAAATAAAGTTCTATGGCAAATAATATTTCAATATATACTGGCAAAATAGGACCCTTAAAATAAACATATAGTATAAATATGGATATGTCATAATTTTAGAATTGATGGATGTCAGAAATAATAAAGAATTAAGTTTTATTGGAGCAATCTGACATAATAAAGAATGAAGTTATTCGTTTGGTATTGTGTCATTACTGTGATATAAAATTTATTCTTCAAGATCTTCGATGAAAAGAATGATACTAACTTTTTAATACAGGGTGGGACAAAAGTAGGTTTACAGTTGTGAGTATGCAAAACAGCTTATTCTTGTATTATTATTTATTAATTATTGTATTATTTTTCATACAAAAACTGTAAACCTACCTTTGCCCCGCCCTGTATAATGGTGGAACATATCTGTGAGCCAATTTGCTATGATAAAAGTTGATTCTCCTACTCCAGAGTTTCTTAATTCAGCACTACTGAAACCGGGGCCAGATAATTCTTTACTGGGAGAGACTGTGCAGTGCGGGATGTCTCACTTAGTTGACCTCCACCCTCTAGCACCCTTCACCCTCCCACCCAGGTTGTGGCAACCACAATGTTGCCCAATGTGAACACTGAAAGCAAAGTCCCCAGAGGTTGAGAACCACTGTTCTGTACTGATGTTTAGTTGATTACATATACTAGTTTAAATGTTTATAGACTTATCAAGGAGGCTGGTATCTTAGAGAACATTTGGTCACCTCCTTATATGACAGAGAAACTGAGTGTTAGAGAAGTTACAACCTGCTCATAAATCCTCAGCAGTCAAGCTGAACACATGATCAGTGCTATTTCCTGTTTTACACATCCTCCCTGAGGGTGCCTGCAATTTTATACGCGTACTTTACACTTGTGAGTAATCCTTTGCTTTGAAATTCACATTCTTTCATGTATTTTTCCATTTTATTTTCACAATAACTTTCAAATTTATTTTGTTCACGTTATAAAATCTGGCCCACAGGGGTTCAGTGCTATGACCAAAGGAATTCGGAATCCTGTGTTCATTCCATTCCTCACCGTAGTGTCCCCAGATGCATGTTGGGAATTTTAGAACTCTAGAGTGAGTATCAGTGGTTTTTTAGGCACTGAAATAAAAAAAAAATCTGCCAAATAAATTTTGTTTTATGAAATTTAAATAATATTAATACAAGATTTCCCAGACTACCCAAACTCATCCCCTTAAATTCACATCTTTAGACCTTACAAAATCTCTTGTGATATGTTTCAATCACACATGTGTTAGAACGGAACCAGAAAAAAGTCAAAAGACAAATAGAACATCCATATTACTTTTCCCTCTGCTGATTTCATTTTAATACATATGAGTGAAAATGTACATATGTCCAGATACTTATCCAACTATTCATAAGATATCTACAGTATTTCATTTCTTTTTTATACATACTTGATATGCTTCATTTATGATTTAAACTGAACACAGTTTGAGCTAAGATTTAGTCATTGTGCTATGGTGAGGAGAAATATTGTGTTTTTGTTCTTGTTCAGGGAATTGTTCTAATGTATAGACAATCGATGAGAAATAAAAACTTTAATAAAATATATAAATTTCTTTTTAAACATTCAGTCTGACTTTAATATATATTTAATAACACATTTGCATTAACTTGGGCTATACCTATCCCAAAGTACCTTTGGTGTTAGTGATTATAAGCTGTTATTTTTCTTTTTATCAAATAGTGATGAGAGCACCATATGGTACTAAAAGTTGAACATCTCTCACAACCAAAACCTGACTTAAGTTTCATACCATTTTCCTCAAGGTGAGCTTTTTTGATGACTACGACCTACCTCCTCTCGGTGTTCCTCTCCTGACCGCTGGAAATACCACTTAATAGATGCTTGTTGGGATTTAGGTATACATTCCAGAAAAGTTGAATTAAATTCAATGCCAAAAATCACCTTTTCATCAGCAGCTTCATGAGTAATGCCTGGAAAGCAAACATGGAATAGGAGATTAACCTTGACCTGATTTTAAAAGCAATGGGAAAATAGACTGATTTAGAACAGATGCCATGGGGGAAGGATTCACACACATTATTAAAGAGAAAGGAAATTCATGTTATAATATTGTTACCTAAAAGTCAAATACTATCTAATACACTGATTTTTAAAACTCTATTTCTTCCTTGAAATGTTCACTCTTTCTTCAGTGTATAAAGTATTTGCAATTGACTTTTTAAAATAAGAATTTACAAGATCTAACTCTAAATGGCATGAGTCTTTTTCTCTGAGCTGAAATGAATAACAATTAACATTTTTTAGTGCTTTAACACCTTTTAACGTATATAAAATACAACCAATTTTTTAGATAGTTCTGGAAGAGCAGTTTACCTTTAAAGAGAAATTCTATCATAAATTGGTCCACAGAGCTGACCATATAACATTAAGAAATTTTGATGTCAGAAAAGTAAGTACAGTGATCTATACTTGATGCAATTCTGTAATGATGGTAACAAGTTAGATTCTCCCATACTCAAAACCAGGACCTTATCTATGTTATCTAACAAAATACAGGGTAGGGTAAAAGTAGGTTTACAGTTGTATGTGAAACAGAGCTTATTCTTATATTATTATTTCTTAATTATTGTGTTATTTTTCATACATAAAACTGTAAAACTACTTTGCCCCACCCTGTATGTTCTCTTTTATTCAAAGAGGGATACTGTAGCCCAACATGCACTTGCTGTAAGATGGTTAATGGGAGGCTAAAGGAGCGGTGTCTCAGACACCTTATCCTCGCAAATCAACTGCAACCATCTGAAATGCATTCCATCCTGAGTACCCAAAGGCTGTGTCCCATGTGTGATCTAAGATCTGTAGCTCAAATTTGATCAAATAAAAAATGACGGCTATTCATCCTGGTCCAAACATGCACTTTTTCATCGTCTGTTCAGATGTCTCAATTCTGCAGATGGGCCTACTTAGCATTTTAGGCATACACCAGAGTACGGCTTAAAGGACCTAAGTGAATCCTCAATCCAAGCACAGAAATTATCAGCAAATGGCATGAATGCACATCCATCCATTGGTTAGGCTTCTTTTCAAGAAACTTCTTTTGAACTTATTTGTGTTTTACCAGCACCGGTTAAGTGAAGCATGCTGACACCATTATGATCTGTTTGTCTATGATCTAACCTTCAAACTGTATGGATTCCATTTGAAACCTGTAATATATCCACTATCTCTGCCAACTGAACAGATTATAACTACAATTTTCACACTTAATAAATTCCTAATGCACCGAAAGATCACTAGTGGCAATCTGGAAGAGAAAGACGTGCATCATTTCATAGTAACAGATACCATTTTCCTGAGCAAAGGGAGTCCATGAACAAAGCAAGAAGAATGCAGGTTGATTGTTAGCTGACCGTTAAGGGCTCAGGAGAAACCCAACTAGACTGATTCAACTGAAGAATCGGTCAATTTAGTAAAAGATAAATTAGTGAAACCAACTAATAAAGTGAAATAGTGAGCTGACTGCATGAAATGAATAAAAACAGTGACCTTTGGTCACAAAGTCATTACTTTGACTGGAAATAATTATATTGTTGCCTCCAATACTTTTTTTTTTAATTTCTAAGTTTTAAATTTATTATTTTAAAAAATTTAAATATATATATGTATGAATATATGAATGTATAATACACACACATACATATTATATAATATTCTATGAGTATCAATTTTTAAAGGTGCAAAAGTTGTTTACAATGTTTTAAAATAGCAGAATGTCTCTTCATTAAGAATAAAATAATTTTAAAGATAATAGTTTAATCTTCCAGATTACAGTCAAAAATTTTTTTCATCATGAGATATCTGAAATATTTCTTTATAACAAATATATGACATGCCACTGAAGCCATATATTTAATCACTTCAGCAAGACTAGATGTGTTTAATATGGTTAAATACAGTTCATCTACTGCATTATTGATTTTATGCATTAATAGTCACGTGGTATCACAGTATACAACAAAGTAATAAATAAAGCAGGAAGGAAGGATTTACTTGCCAATTATTCAAGACTTAAGTAAAGTACAATACATATATGGTGAATCATAAGCAAGACATCTCCTTTCTTCTTTACTACCAGCTTTTGTTCAAATCTGACCCCTTTCTCTCAAGATTGAAAACGTTGTATTTTTAAATGCCCTCAATCTCTGATTCTCACAATTGAGTCTCTATCTGACTTCACCTATTTCAATTGGTTATCTATATAGAAATCAATTGTTTATATATTTAAAAAATGACTTTTTACAGAAATACTAAATGGCTCCTTTTCACCTACAGGGTAAACATAAGCTCCATAAAATAGCATGGGGATCATCACAAACTTACCACACCTATGTAAGCTCTTTTTGATTTTAGGTATCACTACTTTATAAAATATGACTCTCTTCTTAAAACAAAGCTCAAATGCTACCCATCTGAAAATCCTTCCCTTTACCCAAGCATTACACAAACTCCCATATTTCCATATTGACATGGTGTTCGGTGCTGGGGATGTACAACTGACTGTGACAGGAAAATGTGCTACCCTCTAGAAAGTTACATTCTAGTGACAGAGACAAAGTAAGCAAGTGAACAAATAAAAAATACAGTATCTGGTAGTGTGATGCAGCACAAATAAAAATAAAGCAGCTTAGAGAATAAAGGAGAGAAGGGTATTTCAGATAGGATGGTCAGGAAGGGTGTATCTGATAAATAACCTTTTAAAGCATAGAATTAGTCTGGCTAGTGTGGCTCATTGGTTGAGCATCAACCCATGCACCAAGTGGTTGTGGGTTCAATTCCCGGCCAGGACACATGCCCAGGTTGTGGGCCTGATCTCCGGTGGGGGGCACGCAGGAGGTGACCAATCGATGCATTCTCTCATCAATGTTTCCATCTCTCTCTCCCTCACCCTTCCTCTCTCTCTCAAATCAATAAAGAAAAAATAAATAAATAAAAAATAAAGCATAGCCCCGGCCGGTTTGGCTCAGCGGTTAGAGCGTCGGCCTGCGGTCCTGAGAGACCCGGGTTCGGTTCCCGCTAAGGGCATGTACCTCGGTTGCAGTTTGTCCCCGGCCCTGGTCAGTTGTGCGGGTGGCAACCACTCGATGTGTCCCTTTCACATCGATGTTTCTCTCTCTCTCTCTGTTCCTCTCTTTCCCTCCCACTCTACCTGAACAAAAAATGAAAAAATGTCCTCGGGTGAGGATAAAAAAATAAATAAAGCATAGAATTAACTGATGTGAAGATGGAGCTGGTGGACCTGAAGAGTTCTCCAGGTACAGAGGACACAAATGCAACACAGCTGAGGCAGGAACCAACTTGGTGCTTTTGAAAGCGAAAGGCTGTGAGTGAGCCATGCAGCAGTGATATGAGGGAGGGTCAGGGCATGTATTCGGAACCAGATCAAGTACAGTTTTATAGTCTGTGGAGCTTTTACTAAGTGTTCTAAGAAGCTAGCAAAAGACTTTGAGTAAGGAAATAATATGATCTGACTGAAGTTTTTAGAAATGTTACCCTGGCTACTGAGTGGGGTGTAGACTGAGCAGAGGCAAGCAGGGAGAAGCAGGGAGACGCGCTGAGCAGATGCTGGGGAGCAATGGTGGATTGGGTTAGGCTGGCATCTCCGGAGGGGACACAAACTAGTTGTGGTCGCAGAGCCATAATGCCTTACTGAGAGGTTGGTGATAGGATGTGAAAGAATGAGAAAAATAAAGATATGACCCTCGCTGCTTTCTGACCTAAACAGTTGGGTGAATAGTAGTGCTATTTATTAATAGGAGAAATTCTGCAAAACAGGCAAGTTTTGAGAAGATAACAAGAATTCTTTCACAGATGTAATTTCAGATGATTTGGAGGCATCTAAGAGGGGTTTTTGAGTAGGCATATGAGCATACAAGTCTAGCACAGAGAGAAAGTTCAGAACTAGATTATGAATTTTGAAGTCTGACAGCACTGGCATTGAGGTATTAGGGTGTGAATGGGTAGAGACGGGATATTCAGATGGTGGGGTGAAAAGAAAGTTAAGAACACTGAGAAGGAGGAAGATAAGAGGGAAAGGGGAAGATGTAGTGCCCGGAAGCATAGGGATGTTGGGATACCATCCGGGGAAATAAAAGACCCTGATTTCTAGTGTTTGTAGTGTAGTGTTACACCTGATGTTCTTGGTGTAAAAATGCCCACCGTGTCTCATTCAAACTACTAATGATTTAAAACCAGCTCACAGATATCCTAAATGATCAACAATCAGTTCTCATGGGGCCATAAGAACCGGCTCCAGCCCATCACTCCACAGAAGTCAAGTAATAAAAGTGTTTCAAGAAGGAGTTAGAGGCTGATTCCGAAGACGCTGTCCCAGGGGTGTTCAGAATCAGATGCCGGCCGGCTAATAAATGGCTCTTATTCAGGGGGAAAAAAAAAAGAAGAAGGAGTTAGAGATCAAGTGAAAATGGAAACTGAAAATTAGACATTGGATTTGGCAAGGAGGAAATTGTTGGTGACCTTGATAACAAACGGATTGGGCACAGTGATGAGGGTGATTAGAAAAGCATGTGTGAAATGGGTTATAGCAAGAATTGGATATGGAAAAGTGGAGAAAGTAATTGTAAGTGCCTGAGGCAGCAACTGTGTTTTATATATCTTCATATGATTTATCGTTATCTGACATAGCATATATTTTACTAGTTTTTATGCTTATTGCCTGATCCCTCCCCTAATACACACTTGCATATAAGTTCCATGAATGCACAGATTTTCTTTTTTTGTTTGTTTCTTTTATAAATTGAATTTACTGAGGTTACATGGGTTAATAAAATTACATAGGTTTCAAGTGTACAATTCTATAGTATATTATCTGTATATTGCATTGTGTGCAGATTGTTTTCTTCTTGTTCACTGATATATCTACTTCAATACCTGTAATATTTCCTGATAAATCTCATATGTGCATGCGCAAACCTGTACACTTAGCACACAAGTGATGATTTTCAAATACAACAATGAGCATGGCAGTGAGTCACATACATATCAAAATGAGAACTCAAAATACAATTCTAGGCCAGAGCTTATTTTTCAGAAGAATGAAATTACGAATTCTAAATAATTGTTTTGTTAAATTATGAAAACACTGCTGGATCATAACTTGGGGACTATAAAATTAAGGTTGTTTATTCAATTACAGGATGGTTACTAACAATGTGATGAAGGGTAGGCAGTTCTCCAGCTATGTGAGAGTGTGTGTGTATGTGTGTGTGTGTGTGCACTTATATTGTCTATCTGATGGCAGACCTTAACAGTGGAAAGTAACTAAAATTCTAGAATATATAATTTTATAGAATTTTCTCTGTTTGCATACTTATTCAACAAATCTCCTCTCTATTTTCCACTCTGTAGTTATCATATTCAGATGTTCAAATTTCTATGAAATTTCCTTTGAACTATCCAGCTTCTGGTGATGTCTCTTTTTGCCAAACTCCCTTATCACTAATTGTGCCTTATGACATCTCCCCAAAGAATTGTAGGCGCTCTAAGGAGTTTCTTTGTCTCAAAGTATACTCGAGACAATTACATGCACAAGGAAGTCATTAATATTTACTGATTAAATGAGGGCCTGAATAGAAATAATGCGTAAGTTACCTAAGACTTCTTTCTAATAAATGCCTAGCCTACACTTCTACCAGACTTTTCTGTCAGGGTCTCTTGGAGTTTTCTCTAAATGTCCATATGTTTTAGACTATATCCTGCTTTATCTCTAATAGCAGTTTTCAAACTTTACAAGAATAGATAAGGTAATAAAAAAGATAAAAATTAGGATTTTAAAAGACATGAAACAATATAACAAAGGATTATTCACTTAAGCATATGGACAGGGTGTTGATTTATTAAAATCCCCGGCTGCTTTTCCAGAATATAAGCATTACACAACATGACATCTTCCTGCATAATAGATGTTCTAAATCATATAATGAAAATACACACAAAGACTAGGCTTAAAGTTTTAAATGAGAGAAAAACATATTAAACAGATACTTACTGTCTTCTATGTCCCAGCACTGGGTGATTGGGTCTCCATATTTAACATCCTGGCGTCTAGCTCGCCTACGGAAAAGCGATGAAACTGTTTCGAACTTCAAGAACAATAACTAAACTACAGAAAACGTACAGCTAACACTAGTAGCAGTGTCAGAACAGAACTATGCTTATCTTACCGCTCAACTGAGATACAGATCAATATTCTAATTACTATAACATTAAATCAAAAGTTAGTAGTATAGAGTCTTTTTTTTTTTTTTTTTTTTTTTTATCCTCACCCGAGGATATTTTTCCATTTTTTGTTCAGATAGAGCGGGAGGGAGAGAGAGGAAGAGAGAGAGAGAGAAACATCGATGTGAAAGGACACATCGAGTGGCCGCCACCCGCACGACCAACCAGGGCCGGGGACAAACTGCAACCGAGGTACGTGCCCTTAGTGGGAACCGAACCCGGGTCTCTCTGGACCACAGACCGACGCTCCAACCGCTGAGCCAAACCGTCCAGGGCCTGGGCTGAATCTTATTAGGGCAATAAGATGATCTGAATTTTATTTAACTACTACAGTGTTCTTTTTCTCTGATTTTTTTACAACAAAATAGATGATCTATAACTATAATCCAGGTTTTATATACATGAAATGGAAGAAACCATCCCTACCCTAGTTTTTAATCGGTCATAGGGAAAGCAGTAAGATGTAAAAGAACCTTAGTGGACAGGAAAGTATATACAAATACAAAACACCTTATCATATGAAGATTCAGTACTAAACAGATTTGATTAAGCAACAGGTTAAATACTGCCACTTGAAATAGAAGTACAAATTTGATATGGTGTGAAAGGCTAGATGTTATTTGTATCTGCTGATAAGTATTTCACACTGTTTTCTGATAGTAGCAATAATAGTAAATATAATAAATAATGGTTTTGTGCATTATTGTCACATATTTTGTATGACAAAAGAAAAAATTTCTAACTTATACAAGTATCACATATTACAATATATCTACATTTGCTTTGGCTATTTTATATTTCCACTTCAGAGATCGCAGTCACAGCAAACCTTCTGCAATACCTAGAGTATTCCTTGCAGGCAATACTGACCAGATGACAACCCTGTGCAAGAGTCATCTATTGCACACGCGTCTTGGCTCATGTGGACAACGCACTCGCGAGGGAAAACCTCACGGCGGCATGTCTGCAAGATCACAGATACAGTCTCGGGAAGTACAAGAAGAAAAACTTATGATGGCATAAGGTACATAGGTCAAGAATGTTTTTAAATCTTGACTTCTTAAGCAACAGGGTCAATTCATCAAACTGAAGGTTTATTACCAACTAATGAGCAGTCTTGATTTTTAGCTTGTAGAAAAGAAAAGCATTCCCCAAATACTTGCTGTGATGAGTATATTCTTGAAAAAAATCTGTAACAAAACGTTGGTGACTTTTTACTTTCAACTTGTAATAATCCCCACTCACACTTAATTCATAAATTTCAAGGGTTATAAACTGCCTCCTAATTTTACGCAGTATCTACTATTGTACTATACCTTCAAACTGTGATTCCTGAAATTTGCAATTTGACAAATCAGTAAAACTTCAAAAGAAAAAGTGCATAAGTAATAGTGGAAGTAACATACATTCACTTGTCATCTTATTTTGTTACTAAAGACCTAAAGATTTAAAAAAAATATCATATACAATTTGCTGACTTTGTACCTAGAGGAAAATATATTTTGACAATACTTTAGAAAATAGTGTATTACTATATTGCACATTTTAAAAATAATTGTATCGTAATATATTTAGCCAGCATCAGTCACTGATGGGCAGTCAGGTTCTGGCCATTAATTTTGCTCTTGTAAAAAATGCTGAAATGAATGTCATTGAACATGTAACTTTGTGGTACTTTTGCTTGTGTGTGTAGCATAAACACCTAGCTGGGAATTATTGACTCAAAATAGCATTGTTTTTAAGACACATAAAGCAATGAACTATAAATAGTGGGAAGTATTTTGATGCTTAAGTATAACTGAGTGGCAGAAATTGGGCAAGTTAGAGTTATTATTATAAAAGGACAATTGTACAGTCACTGGATGTGCTATGGACTGCATGTAACTCACACTTTTACAAACATATATATCTACACGTGATATGAAAAACAATGATTGCATACATATTTAGAAATACGAAAGAAAAGATGGAGGAACATGGAAGGAGTAAAGTAATAAAGAAAAACAAACTTTCAATGGTGTTTAACATTGATGAAGAAAAAGAATTTAAATAATTTATCAGAATTTTAAACCGTTCCACATTTCAATATAATGAACAAAATAAGCTGATGAACAAAAAAGACCAAGAGACATAGAAAAAAGTAGGGTTCAGACTGACAAACCTCAGAGGAGGCAGGCAGGGGGAGGGAAGATAAACAAAAAAACTTATATGCATGTATGCATAACCAATGGACATAGACAACAATGCTTGGGCGGGGATTGGGAGGAGGGTGTCTATGGGGGAAAAAGGAGAAACATCTGTAACAAAAATAAATTAATTAATAAAAAAGAGTTCCATATTTCAGAATTTCAAAACATTCTTTTTATTCTCCTTCAAATTGTAGCGTTTTGCAAAAACTATAAAAGACTATATATTTTTTAATTTTAATATTCCTACTGTGGACCATCTTTTCTATATAATATTTTCACTTTAATTGAAATGATAAGCCAAGGTGTTTGTGTGAAATATTCGTGGTATAGAAAGGAAGGCGTCCCATGAGCTACAAGACCTCTTACCTTTTTGAAGTGGGTGTGTAGCGGGAGCATGCAGCTCCATCCCAGGCACAATAGGGGTCTCTGGCAAGACAACAGTCCGCGCAAGCTGTCCCGTAAGTGTCACATCTGTGCAGTGAGAGCTGAACCAATCCATCTTGGGAACCAATGTACAATTGTTGCTGCAAAGCAGGCAAAACAAATGAATTAGCAGCATCTTTCAAACGAGTCTTAAGAACTTCCCTTTCTTGAATACCACATCACAGATCTAAATCTACCTCCTCGGGTGATCTGCCCCTAAAAAACACTTGTACAGACACATAACAAAGAGTAAGATAAGTCGATAACTCTACTCCTGACAGGATGGTGGTTTGAAGACCTTGACACTGAAATGGGCAGCATTCTATGAGGCTAGAGTAACCTTGGCAGTAATTTAAGAAGGTTAAAAACCAGCTGCTGGACTGAGGAATTAAGATGTCAAATTCCTCCTCAAGAGTTGAAAATGTTCCTTGGTCGAGTGTACCAAGCACACGCGCTACAGGCAATGCTGCTGGTCTTCACCGGACACGGTTTCTTACATAGGAGATGACTGGGAAAAGTTAGAAAACTTCCCGGTGGTTTTAACTAACCATTTCATTTGCTAATGAAGTATATACTAATCCTTGAAGGAAAATGGGTTTTCCGTGGGAGAAAAAGTATTTGGTATCAGTGTGAAGAAAGTAGTAGGGAGACTTGAGGAATGCCATATCACAAATAAAAGGCTCCAGGGTACTGAAAAATTCAGCAAATAAAATGACCTTTTGTAAATAAGTTCTTAAAATAATGCACTGCTCCCTCTATGTATTCATTTGGGTGTATATGGTGGTGCGGAGGGAGTAGGGGTAGGGCGGTGTACAAGTTAATAAGCCATAGTCTGTGCCTTCGAGAACTCACGGTCAACTCTAGAGGACCCTTTGAAACTTTATATGGAGGAAAAAACCTGAGAAAATAGATATTGGTACAAATAACATACATGTACTCAAACTACAGGAATCTGTCTTATACCTCTACCCCATTAAACTGTCAGTTGAGACTTCCTGGTGGCTAAATACAATGCATATTTTTTAGTATTTGTTTTACTTCAATTCTCTATAGTGTTCAACACTAAGGACTTGAAACCCTCTTTACTTTCTCTGGTTCTTCCCCTTTATTTCTGTCTGACTTCTGTTTCCTTTGATGATTCCTTTCTTTGTATTAAATATTGGGTTTCTCTCTTTTCTCTTCTCATTTCCTTACCCTTCTTATTGTACAAAGACTCAGAGTTATCTTAAAAACAAAAATGTCGACACACTGATTCCCCCAAATCTGTCCTCGTGACCCCATCCTGGCACAAACATGGGAGTTGTCTTTAAATCTGTTCTCTCTCCTTCAGTGTGTCACCTTATTTTTTCCATTCTCTCATACAGAACTCTCTAATCTATTTCCTCTTCTGCCTCTCCCGGCCACTGCCTTTGGTTGGGTCCTCACCATGTCTTTCCTGGATTACTTATAAGTGTCCTAATATTTCTGCTGGCTTCAGCCTTGTTTCCCCACAACCCCCTCCTCTCACCCAAGCTTCAATCCATCTTCCACACGGCCACACCAGACTGATCTTTCTGAAAGGAAAATCTCATCACCACCCGCTTCTGATCCCATTGTCCTTAAATACAACTGTTAAACATTTTAGGAGGACATACAAAGATGTACCTCTTCTTGCTCTGTCTTATTTCCCCAGATTCATTTCTAGCCCCTTGTCCCTGGAGCACACATATGTCCTTTGCTCTAATTGTACAGAAACTTATTAGAATAAACGATGGCCTCTTGCTCTTCACACCTTTTCAAACGTTCTCCTCTTCTACTTGGCACCTGCTTCCCCACCCCATCTGCCTGGGTATCTACCTGGTTAACTGCAACACCCTTGGTGTCTCAGGTTACATAGCTCTGTTGGTAGCTACCTTCGCTGCTCCCCTGGCTTCTTTTCAGACTAGTTCCCCTCCTCTGTCTCCCTAGCACATGCTTCCACTGTTCTTGCAGGTTAGCAGCTCCTGTCTCCCAGCTCCACAGGGAGCTTCCAGAAAGGAGGGTTGTGCCATTCCTGCATTTCTGACCCTCCAAGGACAGCAGGAGGCCTCCAAGAACTAAATATTGAGTGAATGAACAAATTAACAAAAAATATTGAAGAAGAAACCTATTTAGATCTTTTCCATAATAATCCCTGGACCACACTAGGCATAGTTGTCCAAGACAATTTTAACAACACCTTAATGTTGAACATATTGTCACATGACTTTCTTAAACTTTAGGGTCCATATAGAAATGGGAATGCAAGTCCTAATCTCTTGAATCAGTTGGGACTTGGCATATTATATCCAAGAACTGTAAAATCATATTAAACATTATTGTTATTATTATTAGATTTATTTTACAGTTATAATGTACCAGCTCTCAGTCTAAAATTTTGCATTCAGCATCCTATTTTTTAGGAAGTAGATATTATTTTTCTAACTTTGCTGTTGAGAACATTTATTCTGGGAGTCAGATATTAAATGATAGGTTGGAGGTTAACTGTCGGGCTAGTTACCACCCCAGTTCATAGTCTCCCTGATTAAAAACCATTTTTAATGATTAGGGCTGATACTCTACATGAATTACTTTATGGCCTTGACAGAAAGACATGCTCATGAGACTACAAAAGTGAGTTCAATTTTCAAGAGCCAAAGGAAGGAAAGAATATATTGTTCGATTAATGAAATTAGATTTCATTTCTCCTAAGGCAAGGCTGAAACAATAGCCTTTCATCAGTTATAAAACAAACACATACTCTAAAGCTTTTTCTATTATTTATAATTTAACTTCCAATTTCAATGGATCTTTCTTAAAAAATAAACTTTAATTCAATCATCCTGTTGCTTTGTGGTTAATTTTTACACAAAAATTAAAAAATACCTGCTTCAAAGACAACTCCATGTTCAAGATGATTGATGAGTGCTGAAAAAAGAAGTTAAATGTTAATAATCATTAACAGTCTTTTAGAGTAGCCAGTATGTTGTTTTATCTTGTACCAAAGATCAATGAAGGACACTTCAAGGCTCTGTTACATAGGAGAAGAAAGGATCATAATGTTTGCTATTTCCTCTCAGTGGGTAGTGATTCCACCTTAACAGAAATTTTCAAAACAGTTCATTTAAAGTATCTTATTGAAGAAGAATCATCTCACTGTATGCAAAACACTACATTGAAAATCGTTCCCAGTTACCCACAAGGTTTCTCCTTCTAAATCCGCTTATCTTAACTGCTTCCATATAATTCAAACTCGTGTTGACAAGAACATCTCCATAATTATTTATTACCTCTTTCTGCTCTTACTTAGATCAGTAGTTGAGAAACTTGTTCAAGTAGCAGAGTTCTGAAGAGTTATAGAGCTCGTTGTGGATGACCACATTCCTTACGGAAGATGCCGATGCCCAGGATTTCTTGCTATGAACTAGGGCTGGTTTATGTGCAGAAAAGATGGCTCTGTGCATGTGCTATACAAGCAGAAACCTGAACACCATGGCCACTGAACTAAAAAGGATGGAATGCATTGATTGTTTATCCATCTGTTTATCTTCTAAGTTCATGTCTCACCAGTCAATATTTACTAATTGACAAACATAGCAGATGTCAAAAAGTTCAGAAAATATATGAAGGAAAAACTTTAAAGCGAGAAAGTTCTAGTCAATAACTTTTTGTTATATATTAAAAAAAAAACAGGTTTGTTATTTTATCTTAACAGTGAGATCCAAAGAATTCCTCTTGACACCTGGAGCTACGGAATGACTCTTACTCTACTGTGCCTATCTGTGCTGTGGGGCTTCATTTTTGGCCTCTGGATTCATGTTTATATTTGACATCAGCTTCTTCTTAGGAACAACCCAAGATTTTGTTTTTGGTAGATGCCAGATAACAAGTCTTTTTCTTGTTAACTCCTTGACCACAATTATCTTCACAGTGTAAACAGAATCTGGTGGAACTCAGCATGTTAATTAACTGGAGCCCCACAGTGGAAGGTTCTACTCTCTTTTAGGATAATAGATATTTACACGGAAACAGTCCATTTCAAGAAACTGTTTCAACAAAAATGTTATAAAAAGCTCAGCATGTTTTTAAAAGCTCTTCTAAGAAACACAATTTTATTTCTAATGTTATTTCCAGAAAATAATTTCATATTAAATTTCATTAAGGATCTACAAAGAATGCCCCAACTCAACTTTACTGTTAAAAGTCAAAGACATTTCCCAAATCTGGAGAGCCATTATTTTAGATCTACTAACTCTTTGGGTGGGTGAGGGGAATTTAACATACACAAAGACTTACTTTCATGCAAACTTTTATTTAAAAAAACAAAAATGTCTTTACAGAAAAGCAAGGGCACATGAGAAAACTCTTCCAGTTTTCTCAAATTCAATTGTGAAAAAACTGAAAAGTAAAATTGATAAAGTGGAAAAGCATCTGGACAGTAAAGAGATCCAAGCTTCACCCACTGTAGCAATTTGGCCAGAGGCTCAGAGAACGCAGGAATGGGGGGCCATCCGGGAGCCTGGGAGTCAGTGGTGTTCTACAGGGGAAGGTAAGTCTTAGCCCTAATTTTGTAAACTTGCTTAAGAAAAAGTAAAATAAAGGAGTTATTTGCAAAGACTTCTCCTATATCGAAGCCCCTAAGTTCCACCATGTCTTCTCCTAGAACTCTGGAGGAAATCTTACCTTGAATATCTGCAACTCCTCCAATACTACCTCTTCCATATTCCACTTCTCCTTTGAAATGCTGACAACTTTCAGGACCGTTCCAATGTCTGAAAAAAATACATTGCCCATGACCCTGCTATTTCTCCTTCAGTGTTCAATTGTAAGCATACTCCTAGCAACCTTCAAGTGACACACTACATTTTCTTTACATGTCTTTCAAGGAATCAGATTAAATAAAGCAAGCAAGAAATGAGGCTTAATGTGTAAGATTCTCCCTTTCCAAAATAGTATAGATTTTATCTCATAAAACATATATTTATAAAGAAAATATTAAAAGACATGTGCTTGCAGTATATTCTAACACAAGGGATATGTATGTCTCATTTAAATATTAGCTGAAAAGATAACGAAAATAGAATAACATTTTAAGACTTAATTTAAAAAGTTAAATATATTAGAGTAAAAAATTCTCTTAATGTAAGAAATATCTATTCAGTAATCATTATATTCAATTTGCCACAAAAGAAAAGATATATATATATATATATAATATTAACAAATAAGAGAGAAATCATTGAAGTTATTTACATAAAGGAAACTGTAATTCACTTATCAAATGTATTTTATATACAGAAACATTATTAGTGGGCTACAAACTAAAGTTTTGTTTAAAATTATTTTAGTTAAATTTAAGACTATTAAAAGGTTAATAATATAGCCCGGCCTGTGTGGCTCAGTGGTTGAGTGTTGACCCATGCACCTAGAGGTCACTGGTTTGATTCCTGGTCAGGGCACATGCCCAGGTTGTGGGCCAAATCCCCAGTGGGTGGCATGCAGGAGGCTGCCAATCGATGTTCTTGCTCACTGATGTTTCTATCTCTCTCTTTCTCCCTTCCTCTCTCTCTAAAATCAATAAAGAAAAAAAAAATTAATAATATAAACCAAAAATCAACATTTTGGAAAGGTGCCTTAAATACAGAATCTTATACTGAAGTTCCTTAAGGTAGCACACTATTACAGAAAGGTAATCTAAAGAACATTTTAGAAAAAGAAAAGAATCCCATTTGCAAATTAAATTATGCAAAATAGATGTTTTTAAAGTTCTGAGCACTGGGGTTGAGATGGATCAACATGTATGGTAATAATCTCATTATCACATATTAGTCTAGATGATTCATCTCTGTTTTTAAATGACTCTGGGATCTTTAAAAAATATTAAATGTAAATTTTCCAAATGTCACAATTGAAAATCTATCTTAGTATCCCTGTAATTTAATCAGTAAAAGTTAGGTAGTACCACCTAGTGGTGGAATGGCATTTATTACACGGAAATGTTCAAAATTTAGGAATGAGCTTTGGATATGTAGTAAAAATTAAGTGGCAAACTCTTTAGAATCAGTGACAATCTAATTATTTCAAGTGTTGATGTTTCAACAGAAATCTCTGTAGCACCGGGTACATCACTCCTTTTCCTTGGCCTTGGTGTTGCCATCAGCAACATAATCAGATTCGACTAATTTCCTGACAGCTCTTGGACTCTTGACTCACAGGCTTCCCAGTAAACCCTACTTCGGTAGAACCAATATAGCTTTAGGATAAAATTATTCAAAGTTGTTCAGTACTTCTAGAAATCTATTCCATTAAAAATGTTCATTTTGTGAAACCCATAAATTTCTACATTACGCAATGCTTGATCCATTAAATTACATACTAAGATGGGGTGCTATTGTATTAATGATACATGTTATATTGTTAGATAATACCTTTATTTTTGAGACATGTTAAATAAGCAATAGTTCTCTTTCTGGAGAAAATATATTTTTTATTTTATAATTACTGAGCTGGCAGACAAAGTAATAAATAAATGAATCTACAAAATTTAAGGGTAAGAAAAAACACCTCCAAGAAGTTTCTATTTAATGAGTTTTACAAAGCAATGCTTAACTATTTAGGTCACTGATTCTCAAAACTGGATGAAGGATCCTTTGGGGCAGGGCTTATCAAATATCTCTGTAGGGAAAGGGAAATGTGAAGGAAATAAAGAAACACTGTTTTATCCTACTTGTTTAATTTTAGTCTATAGTCATTCCACAAATATGTATTGAGCACCTAATCTATAGTAGACACATTGCAGTCATAATAAACAAATATTTTGAAATCTCAAATAAAGACTAATGGAGGCTAGGAGATATTTATAATTGTCAATTAAGAGCACTGTGTTACACAATTTTAAGAACTACTAATCAACAACTGACCACCCAGAAGGAGATGCATCTACCCTTGTCTGGAAAATTCCCCAGCAGGGTCATCTCAAAAATCTCTAGGTACTTAAAACCCAAGAAAAGAACCAATGACAAAAAGAGGCAGGTGTGGATGGGGAGAGAAATAAGGGGTACTTTTCCTATAAATAAAGATTGAGACATTTGAACACAACAGCAAAAATATTGACTAGACATTAACTAATAATTACTCATTTTGTTTTTTTTTTACCAATAAATAGCTTTGAAGTTTTTGTGTTCTTTGTATACTAAAAGAAAAATGCCTGGGAAGAAAGGCATGGTCTAGGGTACCTGTTCCGAGAAACATCACGTCGTACTGGCCGTCCTCCGCCACGACGTGGTCCACCACGATCTGCGTCAGCCTGTAGTCCACGTTGATGCGCTTGAACGTCGGCGCTCCCGCAGCTGGGTACACCGGCTTGTACATCACAGGGTGCCGCTTGATGAAACTGATGACGTCATCCGGGAAATCGCGGGTGGACTTGATCAGGGGGTCATAGGTTTTGCTTGGACACTGAAAAGAAACGAGGGGAGTATTGTTCAGGCTCATGAGAGATCTCCCCTTTCTCCTAATAAAAAGGCTGGTCACTGATCATACTAAAGGAACGGTGGACAAGATCAATGTGGAATCCTTTGTACTTATACAACATGCAGTTTACCTCGATATTATAAATTACAGCTATTCCTCTGTATTTCCTAAAGTTTACATAGCAAGCTTTGTTCTTATGAAGATTTTATTTCTTATAAAATGACATTTGAGTCGAAATAATTATGAAGAAAATAATCCGTAAACATAGGACTATGAGAAAACTTTATTTTCAATTTCTTTAATTAGTTTAAGATTTGTTTTAAATTAAAACCATAATTATAATTGGTGTGAACAAGTCAGCAGCTCTTTCTCCAAAGGACCTGTGGAACCTTCTCACTTTGGTCTGAAACTGCCTTGTGCCGCGTAGCGCCCACCAGTTCAACAATGAGCGCGCCCTGCCCCCTGGTGGAGAAGAGAAACATTAACATGCATACAAATGAAATGATTTGATGTCTTGATCCAAAAAACATGAACAGACAATTACTTTATAATGACTTTTTTAGTACATAGCTCCACTCCTAAATCTATTTTATAATTTCAGTATATTGTAATTTAGTAAGTTACTTCAGAATAATTCTGTTATCACATTTGAATTTTTTCTTTTTTTAATCCTCACCCAAGGACATTTTTCCATTTTTTGCTCAGATAGAGCGGGAGGGAGAGAAAGAGAGAAACATCGATGTGAAAGGGACACATCTAGTGGTTGCCACCCGCACAACCCAACCAGGGCCGGGGTCAAACTGCAACCGAAGTCCGTGCCCTTAGCAGGAACCGAACCCGGGTCTCTCCATACCGCAGGCCAACACTCTAACTGCTGAGCCAAACCAGCCAGGGCCACATTTGAATTCTTAATGAGTTAAAATACTCATTTAGAGTAGAAAACTGTGTATATGACACAGGCATGGAGAAGAAAATGAGTGACATTGGGAAAAGCTTTTAAAGATGTGCTGCTTTTTCCATATTTTACTCTTTGACAAGTTGGAAATAATTTGCACTGAACTGAACCATTTATACTAGGCTTTAATTAGAATCCTGTCAAAACTTCAAAATATACCACATTTCTTAGTCAAAGCACTCAGTAGGGTCATTCTCAGGGAACTGAAGATACTGAAGTCACAGTACAAGACCCTGGCCCAATATTATACCAATGACTCACTAAATTAGAATAAAATATCAAAACAAAAAAGTCGTACAAAGACATCTGTTAATGATTTTTTAAATTAATTTGAAAATATCTATATCTTCCACCCCCCCAAAAAAAAACCAACCTTGTATATTTGCTCTTAATAAACTGATATTTTCTTGATATCTATTGATTTGTCCCAGATCTGCACCAAAGAGGTTAGAAATATCCTAGAATACTAGTCATTTGCTAATTACCGAACATATTTTTAACTGGATGCTGATCTAAAGATCTCAGTCTGTGTCTGTAGTCACTGCTTCTAGCACTTAGCCTCAGCCAAGTGCACTGTCGACTCTGTAATGGAAGGAACCCCATATTAAATAGATTAAGCTGCAACTCAAAATGGATATGGAGCTCAAATAGTTCAAAGCTCTTGCCCAATTAGAGGCTACATGTTTGAGGCTCAGTGAAAGGCAATTTATAGTGGGCTTATAGCTCACAATGCCTGCAGTACAATCTGGTTGGTCTATCATTAAAATCAAAGCAAAAGCAAGATTTTGCCTGCATTATATTTTTGAAACACCCCTCCAACTTAAGGAAAAAAAAACAAAAAACAAAAAACAAACTCTTTTGACTTTGCAGCTGTAGTTATGCAGTAGCCAAAATTTCAAAGGAAATAATACGGTGACATTGATGCCACAGTGTCTGGTATCCAATTTTCAAGTAATTCGAAATTTTAATGTGAGGAAATATAGATGAATGAAGATATGCACATTTAGCAAAGAAACAAATATGACCATTTTCCTCATTGCTCACCACTGACAAAAAGGTTTAAGTGTAATAAAATCTAAGAAAAAAAGGAAAGAGGGAAAGCCTGGTTTCTATAGACTATTATATAAAATGATCTTTGAAAATGTATGTTTTTTTATGGCAGCTTTTCCTCGTGGCATGCTGCCAGTGTTTGCATAAGATCCTTTTCCTCGAGGTTGCCATGCACGGTCTCCCCGGGCCCGTCTCCACTGTGCCTTCACAAATGAAAGTGATTTGGTCGAGTTGCTCCCTGAGGTTTAAGATAGTACAGTTTGAACAAAATATTGTTATTGTAGTACATTAAAAACCAGAAGAATTTTGTCTTTGATATCATAGAGCTGTGTAGCATACAGACCTAAAAATAACTTGAGATGTCAAGCAAAGGATGCAGGTAAGGGTAAAATAGGAAAGAAAAATTACAGAAAGGAAAAAAGAGAAAGTGTGGGAAAATGGTGCATCTGAAGCAAAGGAGCATATTCAACTATTTTGTTTTAGAAAATCCTAGACAATTTTCTGGTTGCAGCTTTACATCCCAGGTATTAAAAATAAAGTGGATTTTTCTCTGTATGTATATACTTTTCATTTCTACGAAGTAACATGGTCCATCTGAATATACTGTACAGGTCCATTTATTTCTGCCTGCAGCTTTCTAGCGTTAGTGCTTGACTTCCACTAATTTAGCTCCTATGACTGCACGAAACAAATCAAAGAGCTGATCTGTGTCTCCACCTGCAGTTTGAAAACTCTAAGATAGGTTAAAATTTGAAGGGGGAAGAAAAAGAGCAAGTAACAGAAGTTTAAACATCATTATCTTGCTGGAAATAATACCGGCAGAAAAGTAGAAGAGAAAAGAGACCTAGACAAACCGCGAGATGAGAGGGTAGACCCGACAGCAACATGCCACGGTTCAGGGCCCATCTCCCTTGGCTGGCGGCCACAGCTGGCTAGGTGTGATCATGTATGTTATGCTTGGCAGATCTGTGTGTTTGCAGAGGGCCTTTAGTGGAGCAGTGGGAAGCAATGGATAAAAGGAGAAAAATGGTTTCTAGCCAATGGGAGAACTTTGCCCCTTGGCCAGGCACCAGACAGCTGTTAAAAGTTTTCTCCCCCTAATGCTTCAGGCTATTCTCTGCAGGTTGCAGTTTCCTTAAATAAAAAAAAAAAATCTTCCATGAGGGAAGAATTGGCACAAGGAAAAAAACTAAACCAGGCTTTCTTTTCTAGCAAACTGGGAAAAAGAAACTAAAATGCAAAAAAAAGTCAGATTTTTATTTATAAAGTAAAAAAAGGCAGATTAAGAGGGACCATCCTATCCCCGGCTTATTCATCTCAGAATCAGTTTATAACAGCTACGGACAAAGAAAGACCCTGTATTCAGTATCAGAGATGGAAAAGCCAGGGATACAAATACAGAGGTGAATATGCTCTCTCTCTTTAAGGTCCACGTTCCTTTTTTTAGAGGAATTTCTACATCAGAAAAAGGAAAATTATGTTGAATATAGTAAGAAGTCTGGGATTTGGAAAACCTCATTTTAAAAGTGAATGTCTGGCCTTGGCCGGTTTGGCTTAGTGGTGAGAGCGTTGCCCTGTGGACCAAAGAGTCGTGGGTTCGAGTCCGGTCAAGGGCACATACCTCGGTTGTGATTAGATCCGGGCCTGGTTGGGGTCGCCTGGTAGGGGTCGTGCGGGAGGCAGTCATTCGATGTGTCCCTTTCACATCGATGTTTCTGTCTCTCTCTCTCCCTCTCTCTCCTTCCCACTCTATCCAAAAAATAGTGGAAAAATGTCCTAGGGTGAGGATAAAAAAAAAAGTGGATGTCTGCTCTCTGGAAAAGAAAGTTAAAATCAGTTGCCTTTCATCATTTTCAACAAACACAGTCTGCACACGGCGAGAGGGAAAAAAGGTGATGTCTTGTCATACACCCTCTTCCATGTAGTCCGGGTTAGAAACTTGGAGCCAGGAGGCCCGATTCTAGTCCTGCCTCCGATTCTCCCTTCTAGAATCAAAAACCTACAATTAATAGGATTAATGTTGTCCTCAGTAATTTACAAAAGTGATGACAAATAGTTTGTTATCCAATAAGCAGGAGGCCAGGCAGTGAACAGATGTTGAGGAGAAAGGAAACTGTGAATGTTTATGCGATAGAGAGGCACATATGAGCTGGTGACACATAGAATGCGATTTCCCTGAAGTTTCCCACAGATTTTAAACTGATTGGGAAAGCTGACCTAAAATAAAACACTGTGAGCACACACCTCAGGGGCACAGTGAGGAGACTCCGAGGTGACGGCAGCATGCTCCTTGTCCCCTGTTCCTCAGCCCTGTTGTCCGAAGACTCTCACAGCCTAACACTCCACATCGAAAGGAAGTTTGGGACACAATTTTCAAATTAAGTATGTTTCTTTGGCCAGGCACACCTATGTTTTGAAGTCAAATTTCAAACATCTCTTGTCTACACTTTAACCAAGAAAATCCTTATTTAATGGGGCCAGCTTAGGTTACAACTCAGATCTAATTTAGGAAATCAATGAAGACTTAAAATTCTGAGAATCGTTCGCCCTCTAAGAATATGTCATTGTGCAAAAGCCAAATATTTTTAGTGGGTCAGGAAGAGAAACAAGGCGCCCAAAGAGTTTTGGAGCTTGTGAGCACCATGGTCATCCGTGTCCAGGGTGAGCTGGGATTTCTCAGCAATCATTCTTGTTCCGGGTTGAGCACCATTACAGATACGCAGTCTGCTAGACAGACGAAGTTACTGATATTATTTATCACTCTTTGATGATGCAATTCCTCCAAGATGTGCTTTGTGGAAGCAAAATCATAAACCAGTCTCAGTAAGGCCATGATGATTGGACATGATAAAGCAGAAGATGCCTTTCTAGAATGCGCGGATATGCCAGGGCACAGGGCTGGCCCACAGTAGCACATCTGGCATGATGAACTCTCCAGTGGACTTGGACTCAAAAGAACTTTGCGATTTTCAGTGTTTTT